CATTAGCAGAAATCTTTCAGTGACCACAGACTCATTTGTAGCTATTTCCCGGCATGGCGGTGGGGGTGGGGTGGGGGGGGTAGACCCCCCTTAATCACCTAAGAAGCTTCCTGGCTGCTCTTCCACTTCTCTTTGCCTGCACCATCTTCTCCCCCCTCAACACCTCCTGCCCCCCCCTCCCCCACTGTCATCCTCCTACTGTCTTTCAGACTTCAGTTCTAGAAATCTTATCCTAAACTGTGGGGCCAAGGTCAGGCTAGAAGATCTGAGAACCAAGGCTGAGTTCTACTCAGGATTCCTGTTTGCTGGCCTTCTATCCCATCCTTTAGCCCCTTCCTCATTCTCTTGGTCTTTAGCCCTTTGAGCAGACATCCTTTCAGGCCCCTGGACCAGCATATCCAGCTCTCCCCTTCCCAGGGGGCTCTTAGCTTCAATCAGCCCTCAGAACTTTCTAAGCCCCCAGTCCCTCAGGGGTACTTCTGGTTACTTCAGCCCAGTGGGGAAGGACTTGAGCTGTCAAACCTGGTCTCTATTGCTGGGACAGTGATGTGGGGTGGGAGTACGGGGTGGAGAAAGAGAAGTAGGGTTAACTCTTTTCCTGCTGTGTCAACGTGAAAAGAGGCAGATGCTAGAAGAATCCCCAGCTCTGCTCTGCCTAAGGAGTACTCCTGTTGTTTATATCATAGCTCCAATCCAGGCTCTTCCCTTCCCTCACTCCTTTGTAACCCCTTATTTCTTCCAGCCACATTCAGAGTTTTGCCAGGATGTTGAAGGGAACATAGGGAGGTTGGGAGGGATAGGATCCCAACTCCTAGGGATTCTCTGTGCCGGATGGTGGCTGGGATCCAGGATGTCTGGGTTCTATCTTAGACAATGTGAGCCTCTTAGCTTTAGTTTCCTTGCTGAGAAGGGAGGATGTGATAGAGGAGAAAACAAAAATATCAAGGCATAGATGCAGCAAGAAATGCAGAGATGTGGAGAGATACACAGTAAGGCAAAAAGAAATTGACACATGGAAATGGAACTAGAAAGTTATACAAGGTGCTAGAGACAGAAACAAAGAGAATCACAGATACCAAAAAAAAAAAAAAATACAACAAGCTACAGAAGTAGAAACAAAAAGAGACAGGGAGAAAGAAGTTCCTGGGGAAAGAAAGAGAGACCCCATTCAGATATTCTAGAAGCCATCACCACTGAGGGATTCGGGTTGTTTTTCTCAAACACATATATGATCTTGCACAACAATTAATGAACAGTACAGAGATTCTCTAGTCATTTTCAGGGTGTGATATGGTTTCTCAACTAGACTATAAGATCCTTGAGGGCAGCCTTTATAATCTTTTGCCTTTTATCTCCCGACTCTCCCATTCTAGTGCTCTGCATACTAAAAGTCCAATACCCATCAAGAACTGGGGCAAGTGCTTATGTCCTTTGTGGTCACTAGAGGGCACTGTGCCCCCCCAGCCACTCCTACCTGCTGGGTTTACAGAGTGGGGTTTGGGGAATTTGGCACTGGGATTTTATTGTTACCAGTCAGGGCTAAATGAATATACATACACCGGGGAGGAGGGGAAGTTGGATTCTTGTGTACACACACACACACACACACACACACACACACACACACACACACACACCCCTCATGAACATCACTAACAATAAATGCTCTTGGTCTTGGCCATGCAGGCAAGTCTGCTTTTCTCCTCTCTTTTACTCCACCCTGTACATGTTAACCTTTCCCTCCTAACCAGAGACACACAACTTTGTTCCTGCATCCCTCCAACATCTGTGTGCAGAGACCCATAGCACACATGCGCACACCGCTCACAGGACACAAGCATTTGGAGGATAGAGACATTGAACCTCTAGGGCAACATTTACCACGATCTACCCTGCTTTTTGCCTTTTCTCCCTCTTTTCTCTAGCAGCCCTCTGCATTCTTTAATGGTTTCCTTCCTCCCAGACCCACTCCCATCTTCTTCTGCCAGTGGTGGCTCCGACCTTCTGTAGCCCGACAGCTCTGAACTTTTCTGGGCTCAATAGCAATTCCCATCTTCCCCCAGCTTCTCAGTGATACAGGCTTCTGAGATTGAACTATGGGGTTGGACGGATGGGCAATTGATGAAGAAAGATCTGCCCATAAACCCATGTACAGAGCACACACAAAGACGTACTGATAGTACATGCAGAGAGAGGCACTCACAGATATACACATTGAACTTCAATAATGCTCTTTATCACAGACTCCTTGCAATCCCCTTTCCAAGCCTGGGAGTCCTGCTACCCTATGTGACTCTCCACCCGGAGTTTCTCTCTCTAGAGCTGCCTGCTTTCAATGTCTCTGCTTCTTTCCATCTTTCTGTTTCTGAACCATCAAATATAGGCAGCTCTGGGGCCAGGATATACGTGCATTGACAATCCATGTACATACACTCGCTTTCTCAGTTACATAAAAAGAGGAGCTCTCCACCTCCTCAACCTCTCCCCCCGCCCCAGTTATAAGAAAATAATGCAGCCCATGCTCGAAATGTCTAAACTGAAGCAATTCTTTTTACAGGAACAGCTTCTTTACAATACAATTAGGGTCAGAAGGGACCTTAAGGTTCATTTTAGTTTAATATTCTGTCCCATGGACTAATTTCCCTTACAAAATTCCTGAAAAGGGGTCTTCCAGTCCTTACTTAATGATTTCTACTAGAGAACTCACAACCTTAATTCTATTTTCAGATACCTAAGTTATCAGATACCTACATTAGGAAATTCTTCCTTACATTAAGTTGAAATCTTGTAACATCTTGCATACCCCTCCACAATTACAGACACAAGCATATCAAATTACATATACACTGTCACACATTCTCTAAGTTACACACAAATGTGTAGTTATTTTAATGTACGTAGTTATATACACAGAAGTGTGCATACACATATTTCTACTACTACTACTACTACTACTACTGCAGACACACACACACACATTCCTAGTGACACACAGAGAGACCCATGTAAATGTTCATATATTCTCCCCTAGTTTTTTACACCCTCACACGCTTCCCTTGTCATATATGCAAAGGTTCATGCATGCACATAGTCCCTCCTTAGACTGGGCACATATGTTTCCATGCATAATCACTCACATACATCCTGGTAATTATCAAGAAGCCATACAAAGCCCTGTGTTGGCCAGACTATGCTGCAGGTGGTAGCAACGTGACCCCTAACTTGGCAAGATTGCTTCCGAATCTGATATCTTGGCAGTCAAAACATATTAAGGACACATGGATAGGTGCATGGTCACTCATTAAGCACCACATTTATCTGGCTTCAAGGTTCCCTTCTCATCCCAGAAAGGATATACCAATGGTTTGGAAAACATTTACATTTAAAGGCCTGGATGGATCTTGAGGAAATGAGTCATACTTCTTAACCCATTCCCTAGAGAGTAGCCTTAAACAAAGAAAAGGGAATCTGGGGAGCAGCTTGTGGGATGGTGTGACTATGATGAACCCGATTCACATCCTGGGGATTTTTCAAGGGGACCCTTCTTTGAGACTTTAATGCTTAAAAGTCACGGCAATTTGGGGCATGTTATGGAATGATAAAGATGGAGTTTAATTTGCTACATATCTTCAGCACATATCTGATGTTGACTGGCTCTCTGTTGATGAACCTCCTAGAGCTTAGCTAGGCTGGTGTTTTGATCATAGTCTGCCAGGCCTGTACTCCAAGCCTTTCCAGCTTGGAAGCCTCTGCCAGGCCTTTTGTTCTGTGGGCATGGTTCTGAAGGACCCAGGGTCACCTCCCTGTCATGATAAGGCACTGCAAGACTTAATGGGAGTCTGTGATATGGGAAAAAGAGCCAAGTAGTGGGTAGAAGGGCCTAAATCTTGGGAACAGAAGAAAACCATAAGACATGAATTTAAACATCACATTCACATCCCATACTTCTTTACAGAGATGCTCAGATGTGCATAAACAGGCACCCTGCACACCTTGGTGGGTGTTCCTTGCTGACCCCTCTCTCTTCTGCCAGTGGCTCCAGCAGCAGAGGGAGGTGCTGAACCCTGGCAAAGAAGATTGCAAGAGAAATCCAACTAGGAAGTGGGTG